AGCAAATGCGTAACGGCTTCAAAAGAGCAATGCCCACGATTCATGTTGAACTTGCAGGCGATGTTCTCGTGATTATGAGCTATCACTGATCTAACACAACGTTATTTGTCAAAAAGGCATGTTTCAGTGTGGTAACTGATTGAAGGCCATAAACATTTTAAACCCCCTTATTTTTAGGCAAGACTGACATATTTAGCAAAAGCATGCAATTGCACTGTCAATTGTAAGGTACAAAAAATGTACGTTGGAAGTATGTGTTGAAGTTGCCAGGTTGAATTGTTGGATCTTATTTTTCCTAAGACTTCAAGTTTTTCTTTTAAGAGGACTTGGTTCCTACTTCTAGAAGGAAGGCATCAAATTAGATTTGAATAGGTCATTGAATTGGGTACTTTCTTGGTCCGTGCCTTCATTACCATATTTGAGTTATCATTGTAACAACTGGTCTCTAGTTGGCCATAAAACTTTATTTTTTCTGAGTCAGCGGTCTGCCAGAAAGAGTGCCCATGCAGCCCAGATGACATACAGATTGCATTAAACTTAATTTTGGACCTCAGCAGTGGTAACAGGAGTATTGAGACACATTGCCTACATGTTATTGATATTTTATTCTTTAAACTACTGTTACTTTAGGAAAAAAAAATCCTTGCATAATCTCTTTGCTCTTTGGAAATCAGTCCTCAATTTTAGACAGACTTTTGCAAAGTATAGAACATGACATTTGGAACAATGCTTGATTGTGTGATTTACTTCAGTCATGTATATTTGCATAACTGTTCTAGCCTAAAGCTTTGAATTAGGATTTATAAAGCTGGAAGGTGTTTGTTCTGGAAATAATGAGGAGGAAGTCACTTGTGTTTTACTGACAATAAAATCTTTCTTTTCAGGGCACAGGTGCAGCAAGTTTTGATGAATTTGGAAATTCAAAGTACCAGAATCGCAGAACTATGAGTAGCTCTGATCGTGCGATGATGAATGCTTTTAAAGAAATTACAAACATGGCAGACAGAATCAACCTCCCTAGAAATATAGTTGTGAGTTCATGTCTCCCTTCCTTAAATTGTTCTGGCATTGACTTAGTTAGCATAATATAATGAGCATATGAATTTTTGATATTGCTGCTAATTAAATGGCCTAGAGTTAATTAAATTTAGTCTTCTTGCTTTGAAGGATCGAACAAATAATTTATTCAAGCAAGTGTATGAGCAAAAGAGCCTGAAGGGAAGGAGTAATGATGCTATTGCTTCTGCTTGTCTCTACATAGCCTGTAGGCAAGAGGGTGTTCCAAGAACATTTAAAGGTAAGCTTTCAGTGATACAGATTCAATTTTACTATAAAGTAAAATAAATATCTAGTTACTATTACCATGGGATGCTGGTTGCCTCTTATTCCTGGACTCCTTGCTGAATTGGTTGTTAACAGCTATAGCCCACTTTGAAAATAAATCTAGAAAACTTGTTGAATTCATCAAGTGGTAGGCGCTCAGCCGTGGAATTTTTGGTGATAATACGTTAACAAAATTACCGTTCAAGCTTCATTCTAAGCATTGGTGAAATTTAAAAGGTATTGCCAGGTCCGAAGATAATGAGGACTCTTCTAGTTCAATTTGAACAAACAGTTCTGATAAGTATGTGCATCTTTCCTGGTGGGAATGCAAATTTAGCATTGATAACAGATTTTTCCTATTAAGCAAGCTGTATGTATTAGCTGCTTAGGGAACGGTTCACACTGATTTAAGTGATTTTTGAAATTTCAGAAGTGTGCAAAGCTTATTATTGGGTAGTGGTGGCTTTCATGACATTGACATGCTTTGTGATGTTAAAATACACGGTGAATTGAACTTACTTATGTTGGGAGAACAACTGCTGTCAAGCTTACAGTTTAATTTTTCCTCTTTGTTTAGAAATATGTGCAGTATCCAGAATTTCAAAGAAGGAAATAGGCCGGTGTTTTAAACTTATTTTGAAAGCTCTTGAAACCAGTGTTGATCTGATTACAACCGGAGACTTTATGTCAAGATTCTGTTCAAATCTGGGTCTTCCTAAACAAGTACAAATGGCAGCCACACATATTGCCCGTAAAGCTGTGGAATTAGATTTGGTTCCTGGGAGAAGCCCTATCTCTGTAGCAGCTGCAGCTATTTACATGGCATCACAAGCCTCTGCAGAGAAAAGGACACAAAAAGGTAAAACTTCACTATTTTTTAATCATCTTTTTTGGAGGATAATTCAAATTTACTGTAAAGCTTGGATGTAGTCTGCAGAGGTAAGTGATACACTACCATTTTAGTGGGATATAGCATGGATCAAATCAGGACGGACACTCCCCCTGATATAATTAACTGTGTCCATGTAAACGGAGTTCATTTTCTTCTGGTAGTAGTACTTGGATGTTTAAATGAAATGTGCTTGTTTGCATGCATAGTTCTAATTTTAACTTTACCCATGCTAGTATTTGCATGTGTACCTTCTCCTGCTCTAAAATATTCAGAGTACAAACTTGGTGGCGGTTGCAGCTAGTATTAATGGCTTTAGTTTACACACTAACTAAATCTTAAATCATTCTGGAAGCCAGAAATTATCTAAATTAGTATATATTCCTTTCCTTCTCTCAAGCCTGCAAGACTGAAGGCAGCAGGACAGTAGGCTTGGCTGTAGATCATTTTTTATGTTACTCCCCCCATTAGGGTAGCCATTAGAAAGCCAGTGAGAGAGTCAGGGGTGTTTTAGAGCATCAGAATAGCCTGGAGCAGCTTCTTAGAGGTTCAAGAGAACCAGGCCTTCATGGGGAAGGAAGGGGAGCTAAGGCTGAGTGTTTTTGATTAGAATTTGGTGTGATGAATGGACCAGAATGCCAGCAGCTGATTATGGAAGCTCAGTGGATATTTCTCTGGTCCAGTTCAGATCAGACATATGTTTATTGTAAAAATAAATAAATAAAACCACACCTATAAAATCTAGCAACTTCTTAGTGGAGAGCTTCTAAGTAGAGTCTTCCCTCTCCGTCAGGTTATGATGCTTTGTTCTGCCTTAAGCATTGCTTATTCTGTCTCGGGTGATTTCCTCATGTTGGCAATTTCCTGTGCCTTCATCTGTGCTCACCTTGAGCTATTTGATAATATCTTCTAAGAGTCTTCATTAAAACAGAAAAGACAGCTGCCTGTCATTGATACATACATGCCCCTGTGCTGCTTCAGGGTCCACAGACAATGCTGAAGGCTTTCATGTGTTTCAAGGTTTTAAATTTCAACTTCAGTTAGATCTTGAGTAAACTAAGTTCCTGTGCATCTCAAACAAGTATTTCCTTTGCTTCTTAAATGCTAGTTGTCTCTATACCTCTCTGCTGGAGTATCTCTCTTTGCATTTTAAGCAAGCTGTATTTCATGTTTAGCTGAAGGCATTCCGTTTTGCCTAGGCTTTCTGCTGTCTTTGCTTGTATTTTAATTAAAGCACAAAAATCAAGATCTTGATGCTGACAATGTTTTTATAGGATATTGTTGGATATATGAAGACTTTGCAGTAGATGGTTTTTTAATGACTTTCGCACTCTTGGCCCTCTGTCAATTTGAAACTGATTTTAATCCAAGATGGATAGCACATGTTGAATTACGGCATTTGAGAAGACCAACTTTGCGAATTCTGTGCATGATATTAGTCACTATTGTTAAGCAGTTTTTTTCCAAGCCTTTGGGAGAGTTATGAAAGTAGCTAAATATATAGCACTTCTTGATTAAATTATGCTTGCTGGTTTCTTCAATACAAATGGCAATAGGAAAAACAGTAATCCATATTTGTCTGCTTTTTGTCTTAGAAATTGGCGATATTGCTGGTGTGGCTGATGTTACGATCAGACAGTCTTACAGGCTGATCTATCCTCGAGCTCCAGATCTCTTCCCAGCAGACTTCAAATTTGATACCCCAGTAGACAAACTACCACAGCTGTGAAATTTCAGAGGGTTACTTTTAATTTCTATTAAAAAAAAAAAAAAAACTTTTGATTTTTGCCTATAATAAAGGATGTACAAAGTGTTAATATTGAGTCTTCATGTTGTGGAACTGGAGGATATGGAGACCAAGCATAACTGCTGGAACGCAGCACACATTCCAGGGGTAAACAAACTCATTGTGTGGCGTTTTGTATGTATATATTAGTCGAAGTAAATATTTAATGACTGTTGCAACAAGCTTAATTTCATATTGTTGTACTTACTTAGATTTCTTTTGTAGGGAATCTAGTAGAATGTATTTTGGAAAATTGAAATTATTATGTAATTCCTGAATAAACTGTTTTCCAAAAACACTTATCTTGTGAATATTGCTACAGCCTGACACGCACATACTGTTCCACACGCTGAGAACTGGAATGCAGTCTGATGGAATGGTAGAGTTGGTTTCATACTTATGGACTTAGTCACAAGGATACTTAAATGTGCACTTTCTTGGCAACTTTTAATCTCTAGTGTGCCTTTAATATTCATAGTTAGCTGCAATTTACTGTATGGAAGACTTAACCCAGAATGCAAACAATTGGTGAAAAGCAGTTTGAATATTTGCACAACTGCTCCTAAAGATCTCTGAACTTGTTATGAAAAGATTAGTCACATCCTTGGCAGTCTCCTTGATTTTCATTGATGTCTGTGCTTTGCTTCTGTGAATTTGATGCAATGACAAAGCAGCTAAAGATAAACACAAGGATGGTTTAATCTTTAATTCTTGACAACTTTGTGATGCTTCATGCTGTACAACGGAAGATGATAAATATTCCAAATATTGCTGTGAAATGTTCTGACCTGTCATTGTTCCCTGCAGCCTAGCTGGCTAGCGGCTGAGCTCTCGACACTGTTGTGTTGTAAATGAGTGCTTACACATTTGAAATGGTGCACCAGGTGCTGAGGAGTTAAAGCCAAAAGTTGTTCAGCCCTCCCCAAACTAAACGCTTTGAAAACTAGATGCCTTCTGACGTTGTCCCTTTGTGTGTGCAGAGCAACAAATGTACTTAACCAGGAATCTTCTGGTTCCAGAGCTAATTTTGCATCACAGGTGCAAGATTCATTTTAGTTACCCAAATAAACAGCTGAGGGGTCAGCTTGCTGTGCATCTGGTCTTAAGCCATCCAGAGAGAAGGTTGTGTCCCATGGTAAGAGTACTGGTTGTTAATAGTCCTGACCAGGTTCTGGTTGCTTTAGTTTTAATCCTCCTCTGCCAGTGAAGACTATTGAAATGTGGCAGCGCAATGTTATTTATTTGTCTTTAAACAGAAGACAAAGGCTGTACAGTTCTGTTATACCACTGAGGCTGTCACTTGCAGTCCTGAAAAATAATTCTGGCATAGAAGTTAAAGGTTACATTCCTGGTGGTTTAGAGGATTATATTCTAATGTCATATATTTCCACGTATTTTAATATACTATAACAGTTTCTACTAACTGGGCTTTCCGTGTCTTGCTTTGAGCAGTTCCCTTGTGGGAGTAGGCACGATGTTTTGAATAAAGGGGAGTAGGCGTAGTACAGTAAATAAGGTACAGTAGGTGTACTTTTCAGCATAGGTCAGCACATTAAAACTACATGCAGGTTAGTTAGAAATAGCTGAAAACTTACATTTATGATAATGCTTTTGTTTTAAAAGTTTTCAGGCCTTATGGATCAGCACTTGACATCTGAGTGGTGAGTGCAGTGTGAGTTGTTACAAGCAGCAAAAGCAGTCTGGGTTGAAACTTGAAAAGAGTTTTACAAAGTTCTGGAGTGCAGCAGATACGGTCAGGGAGGCACCATCCTGCTGCGCAGAGCTTTGCTTGACCTTGCCTCTTCCTGCCATTCTGCAAGCAGTTCCTGTCCCTCCCTCGGTGCAGAGAACCTTAAGCTGCACAGCCCAGAGAGGCAGAGCTAGGAATGTGCTGAAAGGGGCTGTGCACTCCTGGCCCAAGTAGACCAGGTAACGTAAAGCATTCTAGGAAAAAATGATACTGCTTTGAGTTATTTTTTGGTCCGTTACGAACACTTTTACTAAGTTGCTTTATTGAAGCTAAGAAATGTGTCTTCTCTTGTAGAACTACGTTTTTCATTCAGAAATGAGCTCTACTTGTACCTGTCTGGAACGGTGCTCAGCAGTGTGTGTGTGTAGCCGTTTGTGATACAGCAGCTGTCCTTGGTGAGGGCTGGGGGGGGGAAGGTTCTTACACTGCGGAGGAGCCTGTGGCTTCTTGGAGCTGCCCTTGCGTAGCTGGTGCGATTGAGAAGCGACCCTCTGCACAGCCCCATGGGAAGTGCCCTCATGCTCTGTGAAGGGGGGAGTGTGCTGATGTTGCTGATGAGTGTGCTGATGATTGGTGAAAGGGAGGGGATGCTTTTACTTGGCACCAGTTGAAGGTCGAAGAAAGCAGAGACACAACGAAGGCTCTATGCTATATCGATGGAAGTTGACAACGGTTTTGGTCCAGCAGTGACCATTGTTAATAGTTACAAATCTGACACCTCCAACTAGTCAAAGGTGGTTTTGGTCTAGCAGTTAGTCATAGCTCCTTGTAAAAGCAGAGGCTTTCCTCTGAAAAATGATGTTTGGGATCCTAAATCCCCTCAGGAGCCATTAGGGATAGGTGTATCTGTTCTTGTTGTCCTTGAACTTTACAGTAGCTTACTACAGGTACATGTGTATGTCTTAGGTGCCTGCTCTCCCCCACCCCCATCGTTTCCTCTATTTCGATCAGAAGTGTTTGTTGCCTTTGAGAGGGATTCTGACTGTGGTGCTACCAGCTGGAGCGGTGCTAGGGAGCCACAAGGGTTTAACTCTGGTACTTGCAGGCATTGTTCTGTGCAAACGTCTCTGCTTGCTGAGACTGAAGGCTTGGTGCGATGCAACTTGAGGGGGAACCTGTCCTGGTACCTCAGTGGCTGTCTCCAGCCGAGGTGCAGCAAGGAGCCAGTTAGCTGAAGTGGTGACACTTGGTAGCTGGAGAACAGGCATCAGGTACTGTGGTGTCTCTTTCCTTTTGCTGTTCAGGGTAGGGCCAAGCCAAATCCTCTCCCTCTAAATTAAAAGTCGTTAGGAGTAGTAAAGTAGTTAAAAAGAGGTCAAAGTGACCTTGCCTTTTCAGCACAGCAAATGTAGCCAGTTCTTGGGGTTCTAGAGACTTCCGATATGCGTTCTGCATACTGACTTAAATACCAACCAACCAAAAAACCCTCAAGATGATTTAAACAGCATCATTTGACTGTGGTTTGGCTAGTAACGTAGAACAGCTTTCTCTGTGCTAGAGCCATAATTGGCTAATGCAAATGACTGGGCTGCTAAAGGTGCTTTCTCTGTTTTTGAAAGGAAATATCAAGTAAAAAGGATAGTTGGGGGAGGGAGGATGGACGGAAGAGCCACTATACCATGATATAGGTGGAGCAGTGAGGGCATTTCTGGGTTTCCAAAGGAAAATCTGCACTTCTGAGCTTGGTGTTGTACTAGCAGCTAATGGGAGGCGGCATGATCCCCTCGCCAGCCTGGCGTTGGGAGCATCTTTCACCAAGGAGAGGGCTCTCCCTGCTAGCCTGCAGCCTGGTTGCTGCGTAGCCTCTTGCTGTGCTGCGCAGGCAAAATTGTAGCAAAGATGGCAGAGCTAGCAGGGTCTAGAGCCTGAGCAAGATTATCTACAGCTACAGTGTTCACAGCTCTGGGGGGGGGTCTCTGCCTGCCCTGTTTTACTATGTGCACAGAAGTCATTGCTGGGGCAGTTGGTCGGGTCCAGAGAGAAACTGGGCCAGAAGACAGGAGTGCTGCAGCCTCACATTCAACACAGGCAATGAAGGGTGCTGTGTGTTAAGGTGCTTTCTGTGTTTAATTGCAGTTTAAACTAGGTATTTAAAACATGCCTGGCTCTTTGATCTAGCAATCTCCTGAATTATGATAAAAGGATTAAAGCTAGGGATCGCTAGGCAGTTGCCTCCTGTGAAATATTAGTTTGTTTTAAGACTTGTGGGTAAAGATGTAGTTTCTTAAAGGCACTCAGAAAAGAAAGCTTCCTTCTCCGCTTAAAGAACAAGCTTAGTTGTGGTTTCTGTGTGGGTTTGGTTTGTTTACAGGTGCTTCCTCTGTAAGGGGTGAAAAAGACTATACTGGAGACATACCCCCAGGAGGGGGTGACCACCGTTT